TGATTCTGCAATCCTTGCGCAAAAATTTTTGGAGCCGAATTTTGAATTTCGCTTTTGCGTTTTTGCTACTTCCGGTTGAAATTTTTTAAAGCTTTAAACGATCACACCATGTGACCTTGACCTTTGATGACCTTGACCTTCATAGGGTCAAAGGTCATTGACCTTGGCTATCATTTGATACTTTGACCTTTGACCTCCGACATGTACTTCTGGTTTTATAGCTATCCGTAAAAAGCCAAATTCGCAACTTTGGACTGCTCTAGCACGTGACCTACTTAACCTAGAGAGTAAATTTTTTCGGTTTCCTAATGTGCTTCTCATGCCCTTTACATAGATATATAACAATCGTTCTTTTAAAGCAAAATTGAAATTGGTGATTTTTTCAAATTTGAGTTTTTTTTTACAATATTTGCGTCTTTTTGAGCTTAGTGTATGTATATCTTATGATCTATTTGATGTAGAACCTTGATATTTGGAATACAACTAGACACTTTGAATATAAATTCACCTATGACAAAAAAACTTATGTGGGCGTGGCACATCCGGTTCAATTACCAATTGTTTACATTGTGGGGCTGGGGCATAACTCGCATAGGATGCGTTTGTTCAAAAAGAGACTTTGCACACAATTACCTCATCCTTTTGGCCAGTTTGTGTTAACAGCTCAGTTGTTCCAGCTTTATAGTTTCAAAAAAGGAACGGGTTTTAACATTTGGATATTTTCATTTTTCGATTTTGACCTTTGTTGACTTTTGTTGACCTATATCTTTTGACCTCTATTATGTAAGAACTTGACATTTGGAATATAACGTAACATTTTGAATATCAATTAACCTATTCAAAAAAAATTGAAGTGGGCGTGGCACATCCGGGTTAAATTACTCATTATTGACATTTTTGGCAATCTTTCGATGAATTATCTTTGAGTTATTGCCCTTGACTTAGGAAACGGTCATCAAAATTTGTTTGTGAACACAGTTTTCAACTGATTTTAATGAAATTTGGTGTGATCATTTATATTATGAGATCTTGGACAAGTTCGAATTTGATGATATTTCAATGAATGGTCTTTGAGTTATTGCCCTCGACTTAGGAAAAACGCATCAAAATTTGTTTGTGAACACATTAGAGACTAGAGTTTTCAATTGATTTTAATGAAACATGGTGTGATCATGTATATTGGTGAGATAATTTGATGTATTTGGGTTATTTATATTGATTTTTGAAAATTTGGTGGAATTTCTTAACAAAATTACTGGCAGTAAATAAATATATCATTGAATTCAGACTATTAAAATTTCTTTAATATGAGAAAATTCATATCAAAGACTGTTTTATCATTTCTGACAGCTGCCAGTGGGCGTATATTGCCTTGCCTGGCAAGCTATCTTTTGCTCTTTGGATCGAAATTGCATAGCATTTTTAAATTTTGTGGAGCAATTACTTCTTCAATGTTTTATAAAAGTTATGAATAGTATCATTGAATTAAATGATTCTTGATTTTATTAATTTTAATACCAGTGGAAAGCAGAAATACAAAAGAAGTAGACCTTTAACCCCAAATGTATTTGCTCATTCCATTTAACACTCGAGTAAATCTAAAAATCTGTCGCCGTAAATAATGCACACTTAGGCCTACATGTTTACTTTTTATAATTTTTCTTCAATAATGGCTTTTCTTACTCCTGATATCTTCAATATTATTTTTGAAGTGATGAAATACTTGCATTTGTCATATTTATTCCCGTGGCATTAAGTCTAAATTTTTAAGGTGCTGCGCGTAATATGATTCTCGATTGAGAAAAATTCAAACCAACCGATAATCTTTAAACCTCGGGTTTGCGGTCTTTCTTACGGAAATGGATATTTAAAAGTTGTTATTATTTTGTTACAAAATATAGAAGTGTTGTTTTTCGATTGTTGAATGATGAAGCATTATTTTTTTCCACCACGAAGGCCATATCCATGCTGCTCTACTCTATCTCCCGAAATGTCGTCTGCTTCAGTATAACAATGATAATGGAAACAAACAACAAAGGCAAAAGGGGAGACATGTAAAAAGAGTTACTGTAGGGATTAAAAGAACACTGTGCGAGAACAGTCTAAAGTTTTCTTAGAAGATTGTAATACCAGAAGTAGACGACAGACCTCACAAATGAAAGTATCAGATAGTCAAGGTCAGTGACATTTGATTTTGTAAAGAAGAAAGTCAGAAATGGTCAAGATCACGAGATATAAGTCATCAAAATTTCAAATTGCATACGGCTATAAAACTTGAAGTTGACATAGGACAGCAAATTGAAAAGTAAAGGTCAATATTGAATTCCTAATACCTGTTCCTTTTTTGAACTATGAAGCTGAACTGAACTTCTAAGACAAAGTGGCTCAAAAGATGAGGTAATTGTATGCAAAGTTCTATTGTGAACAAATGTTTTCTATGCGAGTCATGCCCGTGTCCCAAAATGTAATAAATTAGTAATTTATCCCAGATGTTCCAGACCCACCTCATTTTTTTTGTCATAGGTTATTCGATATTCAAAATGTTATTTTGTGTTCCAAATTTCAAGTGCCTTTTCGAACAAATGTATCCTATGCGAGTTATGCCCCTGTCCCAAAATGTAAACAATTAGTAATGTAATCCGGATGTGCCACGCCCACGTCAACTTTTTTAGTCATATTCATATTCAAAATGTTAAATTGTCAAATTTCAAGCATCTTCATCAAAAAGGTCATAAGATATACAAAAAACACTCAAGTTAAACAAAATCACGAATTTCAATTTTGCTTTATAAAACAATTTTTGAAAAGAGCATGAAGAGCACATTAAGAATTAAAAAAAAATCACCCTCTAGGTTAATTCATCATGACTTGTCGCCAAAAAATTAAGATTGGAATCCTTTGACAGCCGTTCTCTCCATTTACTGTAAGATTTGAACGACATAATATAGAAGCGAGGGGGGGGGGGGGGGGGAAATGTACTGCCCATTGTGGCGGTTGATCTCTGGAAAGCGTCACTGAATTCGTCATTGTTGCTTGTTGGGGAGGTTGTAGCCTATGATGGATTGGTCTTGCCATTGGATTTTGTGGCTTGGAAACTTGATGAGGTGTTCAGGTAAGGCCGATTTTCCATCTTCGTTTTTTGGTAGAGGTGACATTCTTTCAATCTGGTGGAGAGGGGTCTGCATGTTTCGCCTGTGGATAGTTGATGTTTCAGGAGGCGTCTTATTTTGTAGCTGGTAGGACCTATGAATGGGAGGGGTAGAGGAGCAGCTGGCTGTTTGTTGGTGGGTGGAACTTCTTTATTTGAGGTGGTTGACTTGAGGGTATTGTGGATAATCAATTTGGTTAGCTGGGTGGGGTAGTAATTGTTACTTGTGAACACACATATTTCATCATTAATGAATTCCGGGTCACAAATGGATCTGACTCTGCAGATAAGGCTAGAGATTTAGTAGGGTGATTGGAGCATATATGTACTTGATGATTTGGCCCATGTTTTGGACTTTTCCTACTCATTAGGCCCCATACGTGGTAAATAGCCACTGCCTTGTAAATAGCACTGGCTAGTAAATAGCCACTGCCTTACTAGCCAAATGGGTACGATTTTGTACTTGAATATTATAATCTCTTTCGCTGAAGAGTTTCAATGATTTTCTTCTGCAAAAATGTCAAATGCACATCATTTGAGTATATTACCAAGATATTATGTAGCCCCAGATAGAGTCAAATCAAAGTCAACAGCTAGCGCTACGCAGGAATAAAATTCGGCCAATAGTCGGCTACAGTGTGATTCGAATAGGCATTACCCGTATCAACTCCAAAGACAAGTTTCCTGGCAGTGGCAGTCGAGTGACACTGACTGGCTGAGTTTTATAAATTATATATTATATATATAATTCAGTTGTGACTGTATGAAAGAAGGACGAGGTGAATGATATTTCTTCAAATTATCTGTCCACCCCACTGGCTCTGGCTAGTATAGTAGGCACTAGACCGAATCATCCTGTCTCTCAATGCTGATGGCAGAGAGTCGGAAGACCAACTATGAATATATCTTGAAATACCGCAACCAATTTGTTTGCACTGAAATATTCTTCTTCCTTGAGTTTTTTTTTCTAAAAACTGACAATTTTCTTGTATTTTTTTAATTCTGTTCAATACCATCCTTTTTTCAACAGAATATACCCCTAATTGGTGTCCACAATCTAAGTTGGAATATATTCAAGAGTGGAGCTATTTAAAAGATGGTCGCCATCTTATATAAGACTTATTGTCATTGAAAATTTCAGCCAATCGAAAGACATGAATTTCATTGACTCAACCAATGTTGTCTATAGACAACAAATTTTATAAAGATGGCGACGTACCGTAGTAAAAATGCCTGCCTGATGGACATTTATCTAATTTGCACACAAGTACATAATGTCCAGTTGTTGTAAAGTACCGGTATCGGTACATCTTATTCCATAATTATCTAATACTTTACAATATTTCCCGTTTTCAAAGGTCTAAATCAAGTACTACAAAATTGCATCATATCTATCTACTTTTGGTCTATCTCTTAAGTAGTATTATTTAGAGTCAACGTGTACATAGTATTAATTAGAGTCAACATGTCAGACTAAGTAGGCACTACTGGTATCTAAAGCGAAATGTAGCCTCGACCTAGTCTAGACCCTAGTACATGATATTGGATAGAATATCTAATGCCTTCAGAGCTGTATGACTACAATATTTACAGAATCCCTTTTTCCATTATTTTACAGAGATTTGTATTGATTTATGAGTCTATGCAAGATTAGTAAAAAATTTAATACAATGTATTTTTCATGAAGTGAATGTCTATATATGATCTTTTCCTTAATTTAAGATCAGTGTTTACATTAAAGAACTTAAAACATGAAAAGAAAATGATGGTATTATAATAATGGTAGCAAATGGTTTTTGTAGAATTCCATCCTAATTCACTGGTAGTTATTTAAGTATGGCACTGTCAGAGAAAATTCAACCAGTTGCTAATAATGATACTCCAGAATTACTAGAGGAATCTTATACAGATGTTGAGGGAGATGTTGAAAGAAAATCTAGATATATCAGTACTTTACACAAAGAATACATCCAATGTGATTTATGTCAAGCTGAATTTCTGACACCTGATTCTTTAGATGCTCACAGCAAAGACTGCATCAAAAATAAGATTGGAGCAATATTTGACCAAGCACTTGTTAATAATGATCAGTTTTTGTGTAAATTTTGTGGTGAAGGATTTGAACAAGTAGTTGACTTGACAAGACATTGTGAGATTCACAATGAGCTCAGACTGAAGCAAGAACCTAATTTGTTAGGTTTACTTGATAAAGGATCTAGTTTGGTAGTACCAATACGCAAAAGGCCCTACTTGCCAGAAGCAGATCAAGATTTCACAATAGAGACTTTGTATACTTGTGATCTGTGTGGCAAGAAATTTAATCGTAAATGTAATATGAAATTGCATCGAGATGGTGTTCACAGTAAAGTTAAAAGATTCGAATGTGATCTTTGTGGTAAAACATTTACTCAGAAAAGCTCTCTACAAACACATAACAAAATACACACTGGAGAAAAGGAGTTTGAGTGTAGTGAATGTGGAAAGAGATTTATTTTAAAAAGTGACATGCATAAGCATTTCCGTAGCCACACAGGAGAAAAACCTTATCAATGCTTCATTTGCCTCAAATCTTACACGTCTAGTGGCAATCTTCAAAAACATAAGCGCATACATAGTGGTGAGAAGCCCTTTGAATGTGGTGTTTGTGGTAAAAAATTTGGACGTAGCAGCACAATTCAGCGGCATATGTTAATTCATACAGGAGAAAAACCTCATATTTGTGATTTTTGTGGTAAAGCTTATAGGTACAAAAATGTGCTGAATGATCATGTAAGATCAAGACACACTGAAAGAAAAGGATTCGAGTGCATTCTGTGTGGACATAGTTTCAATAAGAAGAAGGAATTGAAGGAACATGAACGTCAACATCGAATCGACAGAATGAAATCAAAAGAATTTGTAGTGAGAGTCAGGCCTATGTAAACGGCTTACTGCTGATCTGACATGTAAAATTAAAAGGCTTGTATAGAGGTTTCTAAATTTAGTTATGTGTAATTCGCACATTGATAGCATCAATTTGCACAATTCTGATTATTTTCAATCAGACTTCTGGCATCTGTGGTACCTGCAATATTCCACTAGAACTAAGTGTTAGATGGTATCACTAATCATGAAGGGCCTTATGTGATAAAGCATATTTTGCAATAAGTCATGTCATAAAACATCAGAGTTCCCTGATACACATAATAATTTAGGAAACCTCTCAACAATCTATATATATGTATTCCTGTTTACTACTCTACACTATTGCAAGTTGTGATAAGTTCTTTTAGGTTATTCAGTTTTCGGTTTTATTGAGATGATGCTGTGGATATTTCAGTGTAAAAACACTTGTGATTTCTTCAAAAGCTGAGCTCCAAAGGCATACCAACAGAGTCAATCAAAGGGGCAGTATGAAAAATATTTGTTATTAAACATGATGTAAATTACACCTGAAAATATTTTTAAGTATGATATTTGCTGCTAAGTATCTACTTGATCAAACTGAAATTGTTTTCAACTGGTTCAAAACAATATAGATTGTTAAAAATGTAATGTAAGCAGCTTAACTAGTTTTGTTGTTTGACATTATAATGGCTTAATTTGAGAATACTATTTGGTACTAAATTATGGGCTATATTAACCGTAAATCTAAACTTATGCTTGGAGGATGTTGTGATGCTTTATACCCATGACAATATACATGTTTTATATATATAACCTTTACCACTTTGATGTCTTGATAAGATCTACCTCTGGCAGGCAAGAGGATAAAATTGATGTTCTAGATTATGATTTTCTCTAAGCAGTAGTTTGATATTGTAGATTTACTTATATGTTTTGTATATTGTATGAGTGGTATGACTTATGTGGTAGGTAATATCAATACACTCCAATCACAACAAACTGATACCCAAAGAACATGTTATTCAGAGTAATCTTTGACTAGATAATAAAAAAACAGCTCTTATATTACCTTCATATATTATAGTTTTGAAAAGTGTTATACGTTTTAATGGGAATTTAGAGGAATGTAGACGTATAAATTTAGAAATCTATTGTTAATTGTTTTTAAAGTGCTAATCTGTTTGTTGTAGTTTATATTTGTTTATTGATTATTATTAAATGCTTTCAATATTTATGTATATATATACAAACATTTGTTTCTTCCCATACATGGCAGAAAACCTTTGCCCTGCAGCCCCAAAACAGATGGATGCTTTCAGTTCGACACCTATGTAGATAGTCGTCGGTACACATACAATTAATTATGCTTAATATATTTACAGAGTAATGTACAGAGTCGCACAATTTAATGCAATTATAATATAAAAAGCTGCGATATATAATTTGATAATAAGATAGATCTACAGACTTGTGAACGTGCAATATAATAGAGCCGTGAAACAAAATTTGATTATAACTTATGAAAATATCTAGGCTACAGAGTTGCGCTTTACAATGTATTGATTAGAAATATTATCGATATTATAGATCTACAGGTCCGCATTATATAAGATATAAGTAAAGATCCACACAAAATTTGCCATAATACATTTAATTAATATTGATCGTAGAATTATAATTATATGTACATGCTGTGACGAAGAATTATATACATAATATATGTATTATTATGTAAAATTATGTAGTAATATTTTTATGAATCTACAAAATTACAAAATAGATCTACACAATGCAGGCTCTAATGAGATATTTGTATATCGCCAAAATTAACTAAATGAGTTCTATTTAAACTTGATTTAAAATTATATATACCGGTATTTGAAATCTTTATTCTTAACATCAGATCGAAATTGACGAACGTATATATTTGACGTCGGCATTTTGAGTTCATCAAAAATACTTTACTTTGTCGGGTAATTCTTAGCAATGAAAAATAATTCCTCCTAAACGTTTTAACCAGACAGCCTTTTCCCTGTCACCATTTCCTTGTGGTAATTCTATGGCCTGGTGATCTTTGAGAACGCGAGGCACTGTGCTGTCATTTACTAAAACTGGAATCAGTTGAGGCTTATCGTAAGGGAGCATGTTAATTGGATATTCATCCAAAAAAGTAGAGTTGTGGGCCTTGATTATGCATATAATTGCTACATTTCCTTTTAATAACTCTATCAAGGCCTCCCGTTTATCTAAAAACGGTGAAATATCTTCATCGTTTCGAACAACAATCATACCGAGTTCCATCAACCAGCTTTCAATCATCTCGGCTTCGCCACCTTGTGAATCTGCTAAGATCCTAAAGTGACCAATGGAATCATCTATCTTATAGGAATATTCAATCGGCCACATAAAACATTTACTTGCCAATGATTGTTTTCTTGATTCCACAGCAACTTGTAAAATCTTCATCATTGTCGAGATGACAAGTTGGTCAATTCCCTGTATATCAGTTATCAATAAGAACAACATTTTTTCTAAACAATCTTCATAATTCCCGGCCTCTAAATCTGCCTTGATTTCATCTTTTATGACACTTAAAGAGCCGCTTCTAACTATACGTTCTAATCTTTCAAGATATACATCAGATTTCCCTTGAAAAGCATGAAGTTGTTGTAAAAAGCACTCCCTTTGATTATTATAATCGTAGATTTTTTTCAGTTTACCAGGGAATAACTGGATAAAGTTAAATTTTTCAAAATCTTCCTGTGGGGTAGATTTAATTGCAGATAGTATACCAAATAAAAAACTTTTGCGGTTCATTTCCAAAGCCTTCAGATATAGATTATTCTTCTTTGATCTGTCTTGTGTAGTGTACATCATGGCTTTATAACATTTTGATAAATTTTCATATTTTTGACGCTGCAGTGCATATTCTTGCGCCTTTAATCCATTAAAGCATTCCATGGCTTTCTGGTAGTTTGGAGGTTTTAATTGAATGTACGCCTTGCCTAAATCTATGGTTGCAACGGAATTCAATCCATGGCGACTGGCTTTCTCGAAATAATCAATGACACGAGGAGTTGTACCTTCTAACCTTTGAACCGTCAAAGCTAAATGATGATATGCAACATCCTTTTCTTGCATACCCACAACCTTTTCAAGTATTGTCTTTGCAGCTGCAAATTCCTTTATCTTCCTTAAAACTCTACCAGTTTCTTGTAAAACTCGTACGTTTTCGGGGTCTAAACTCATAGCTCTGTCCAAATAGTCAATAATTATTTTACGTTTATTTGTTAAGTGTATTCCTAGTTTTTGAAAATCGACGTCTTGACAATTTGGTTCGATATACAAAACAGCAATCTCAACTAAAGACAGAGCCTTCAATGTGTTATTTGAACTATTAGTGACGATGTTGTCAAACAGTTCTGTACATTTGACAAAATTTTCAGTCGGATTTAATTTAGTTGGCAAAAGTATCCGGATATTGGGATGTTGACATCTTCTCAAGATCAAAGCTAATCTATACTTCCATTCATATTGTTCTGGTCGCTCTTCTATCACTTTAGTAAATTTTGAAAAAGCGACCGCACTATATTCAGGTCCCAATTTAGAATAAGCATATGCTGTTTCTGCTTCAGCTTCAGCGACTAGATGACGATCATCTTTCAATTGGTTCAGTGTTTGCAGACATTCTTCAGCGTCTGTGAAGTTCTTGACATTCACTGACAAGATTACCTTCAAACAAATAGCATTAATATTGTTTGGGTGACTCAGCAATACATTGTCATTTTTAGATTCACTATCTGGTATTTCTTGGAGGACAAAATGAATAAATGATACGAGATTTTCCTGTGGTACTTGTAGAATATCACTATCATCCATATCAGCCTTGTCAATGATATCTTTTAGGACATTTCTTCGTATTTTCACGATGTTTAGATTGAATAGACTTGGGACTATACGCAGACGTTCAATATAGTCTGCAGTATTCATCTTTGGTATCTGAAAATATAATTAACTATTAAGTGACTGACCTCATATGTGGGTACTTTTTTTATTTTTCTCTGATTCATTTGATTGGTTGTACAATTTAATGAAATTGCTGTGGCAATACTGTTTAGTCAAGGTATAAGACATGTTTAACCTTGGCGTTATTATAAGCATATAATCAATGGAAAACCTTCTGAAACTTCTGAGTTTGAATTAGAAATAAATATAGGCCTATACTTACGGTGATTTTCTCGTACAGCAATATATCTCAAAAGAAATGCAGTTGTCCGATTCTAAGAAATATAGCCTATCTCACTTTACAACTTAAATGAAAATAAAAGTAGGAAAAGCCCATTATAGTAAATGAAGCTATATATAGCCACAGAGTTATATATAGAATTATATGTGTATGTAGCATAGATGTATAAATAACTATTTATAACTCTGTTATGTAGATATTATAGATAGCTTCATTCAGACATATATATGTAGCTAATTTTTTTTTCTTGCTTTAATTTGTTCTATAACATCTGTGGAACAACCTGACCCAAAATTATGCAAATAAACCTAAAAGTAAACCAGTGGTAGTGTTTTTACTTTTGCCCCCTCTTTCCTATAATAAGCTATATATGCACTGTATAAGCTTGTATACGTACAATTCTGAATTGGTCAGAACTTTTTTATTTATGAAGATAATTCAATTCTGTAAAAAGATTAAGGAACGTTGACCAAAACCAAGCCTGAAAAACAAAAATTACACAGAATAAGGGTCAAATTTATTACGTCACATTTACTTCGCACATAATTCAGCCTGTTTCTACTTCA